CAGCTTGATATAAATGGGAAATTCACTGAGCCCTTCATAGCAGCTTGAACTTGTTATTCCATGCATTGTCATCAATAACATTATATTTGCTGAACTAATTAGCGGTTAGAGTTGTCCCCCTTCACAATTTGCTTGAAAGGGTCATCTGCTCATTGTGTTAGAAGGCCAAGCAGCTGAAGCTTCTTTGATGACATATTGTTACTGAGATGAAACTGTCAAGGTAAATGATGCCTTCATATTTACTTTTTGTGTGTAATTTTCCCCAGAAACCAATGCTACCTGATGTGGATATGGTTGTCAGGCTCAATGACTTAGTCATTGTTTAGAATCAAGTCTCAATGATTGCATGTGTGGCTGCTTATGATCTCAATAACTGGATTGTCTGGTACAAACTCAGTTATTTACAGATATCATGTAGCTAGAATATTGTGTAGCAACAAACAACAAACAAGCAAAACAATTTATGCCAGCTTTGGATTGGGGAATTTGTGTGATAAATGTAGTCAAGGAAATTAAAACATGCAATATTGCCCCACTGCTTTTAGATTTTGCCCATAAGTATGAAGTATAAGAACCCAAAAGAAAATAATAAATTCCCTTAAAATATAGATTTTAAACTTGTTCCACTTCAAATACATTTGGTTGAGGGAATATAAGTAATACTATTAAACAAATCTCTTAAAATTAGTACTGTAGATCAGCCCAGTGTGCTCATAAATATGTAGTGTGATTTGCTATGAGCAGCCAAAATGAAATCAGAAGATTCCATTGATTGTAATTTTATGGTGTTATCCCTCTTCTGGTTGAATCTGTATGTATTATACTAATATTGTACAGATTCTCTGAAAAATAAGAGATATTGTCCTGTTCAAGATTCAGCCCACAATTTTCAAATGTCAGATTATTCTGTTAGTATTAGACTTAGGAGACATTATCCCTCTCCTGGTCAAAGGCATACCAGGATTAAATCAAGTTAACTCTCTTAAAGTTGTACTAATTAATGGCCTATTTGCTTTCATAGTCTGCTTTCTACATGTCTGAAATATGATCTACTATCATCATATTTTAAAGTTGTTTTCCTTTATCTAATTAAGGGCATATGAATAGTATAAAATAGTTATAAAAAATCTCTAAACATTGGCAATATTGACCTGTTGCATGTAGACTCTGTTTCACAAGTTTCACTTATGACTAAATACTATCAACAGCCATGAGGAATCTTTAGATTCGATAACTGTAATTTTCAACTTTACTCAAGCAGATATTGTCACAAGGAATAAGAACGCCATAATAACTTTACCAGATAGATATAACATGAACCTAACAGTTTACACACTCACACCCATTCAGCTTGAGTCAAATAACTATCACCCTTCAGTTTACACACTCACACCCATTCAGCTTGAGTCAAATAACTATCGCCCTTCAAGGGCATCACGCACAGCACACAGTTTAGACACAAATCAAACATTGCACAATCACTGTTTCCCCAAAATACTAAAGGTTACTACATGCAAATCACTAATACATTAATAGTGTGCTAACAATCAACCCTTCTCATACAATACATCTAACTGTAGATTTTAAGGCATATTCCCACACTTGGTTAAGGACATGTGAGTATCATTATTACTATTTCATTATTAATGCTATACTATTATTTCATTCAGAATTTGCTGACAAGTTGGAATTGTTATTTACCACTATAAGCTCAGAGGAAATCTTGAAATTCCATAAACTGTAAGTTTTAAAGGCTTTATCCCACTTCGGGCAAAGGGCATGTCATTCATGATAACAGTTAAAAGTCTCTGAAAATAAGAACTATTGACCAAGTACATTAATAATTTGCTCACAGGTTTGAAATGTTATTCAATATCATCAGCCAAGATAAAATTTTGAAATTGTATAAACTGTAGGTTTTAAAGACATTATCCTACTTCTGCTCAAAGGCACGTGATTAATAATAATAGTTAAAAATCTCTGAAAATTTGAATTATTGACCCAGTACATTAATAATTTACTTGTAGGTTTGAAATGCTATTTACTATTATCAGCCAAGATAACTTCTTGAAATTCCATAAACTGTAGGTTTTAAAGGCATTATCCCACTTCTGGTCAAAGGCATGTGATTAATAATAATAGTTAAAAATCTCTGTAAAATAGAATTATTGACCTAGTACATTCATAATTTGCTCAGAGGTTTGTAATGCTAATCTATATCATCAGCCCAGACAGCTTCTGGAAATTCCATAAACTGTAGGTTTTAAAGGCATTATCCCACTTCTGGTCAAATGCATATGATAACTAATAATAGTTAAAAATCTCTGAAAATTTGAATTATTGACCCAGTACATTAATAATTTACTTGTAGGTTTGGAATGCTATTTCCTATCATCAGCTATAAAAACTTTTTGAAATTCCATAAACTGTAGGTTTTAAAGGCATTATCCCACTTCTGGTCAAATGCATATGATAACTAATAATAGTTAAAAATCTCTGAAAATTTGAATTATTGACCAAGTACATTAATAATTTACTTGTAGGTTTAGAATGCTATTTCCTATTATCAGCCAAGAAAACTTCTTAAAATTCCATAAACTGTAGGTTTTAAAGGCATTATCCCACTTCTGGTCAAATGCATATGATAAATAATAATAGTTAAAAATCTCTGAAAATTTGAATTATTGACCTAGTACATTAATAATTTACTTTGTAGGTTTGGAATGCTATTTCCTATCATCAGCCAAGACAGCTTCTGGAAATTCCATAAACTGTAGGTTTTAAAGGCATTATCCCACTTCTGGTCAAATGCATATGATAACTAATAATAGTTAAAAATCTCTGAAAATTTGAATTATTGACCCAGTACATTAATAACTTACTTTTGTAGGTTTGAAATGCTATTTAATATCATCATCAGCCAAGACAACTTCTTGAAATTCCATAAACTGTAGGTTTTAAAGGCATTATCCCACTCTGGTCAAAGGCACGTGATTAATAATAATAGTTAAAAATCTCTGTAAAATAGAATTATTGACCTAGTACATTCATAATTTGCTCAGAGGTTTGAAATGCTAATCTATATCATCAGCCAAGACAGCTTCTGGAAATTCCATAAACTGTAGGTTTTAAAGGCATTATCCCACTTCTGGTCAAATGCATATGATAACTAATAATAGTTAAAAATCTCTGAAAATTTGAATTATTGACCCAGTACATTAATAATTTACTTGTAGGTTTGAAATGCTATTTCCTATCATCAGCCAAGAAAACTTCTTGAAATTCCATAAACTGTAGGTTTTAAAGGCATTATCCCACTTCTGGTCAAATGCATATAATAACTAATAATAGTTAAAAATCTCTGAAAATTTGAATTATTGACCCAGTACATTAATAATTTACTTGTAGGTTTGAAATGCTATTTCCTATCATCAGCCAAGATAACTTCTTGAAATTCCATAAACTGTAGGTTTTAAAGGCATTATCCCACTTCTGGTCAAAGGCACGTGATTAATAATAATAGTTAAAAATCTCTGAAAAATAGAATTATAGACCTAGTACATTAATAATTTGCTCAGAGGTTTGGAATGCTATTTCCTATTATCAGCCAAAACAGCTTCTGGAAATTCCATAAACTGTAGGTTTTTAAAGGCATTATCCCACTTCTGCTCAAATGCATATAATAATAATAATAGTTAAAAATCTCTGAAAATTTGAATTATTGACCCAGTACATTAATAATTTCTACTTGTAGGTTTGAAATGCTATTTGCTATCATCAGCCAAGATAACTTCTAAAATTTCCATAAACTGTAGTGGTTTTAAAGGCATTATCCCACTTCTGGTCAAAGGCACGTGATTAATAATAATAGTTAAAAATCTCTGTAAAATAGAATTATTGACCTAGTACATCCATAATTTGCGCAGAGGTTTGTAATGCTAATCTATATCATCAGCCCTGACAGCTTCTGAAATTCCATAAACTGTAGGTTTTAAAGGCATTATCCCACTTCTGGTCAAATGCACGTGGTTAATAATAATAGTTAAAAATCTCTGAAAATTTGAATTATAGACCCAGTACATTAATAATTTACAGGTTTGTAATGCTATTTCTTATCAACATACAAACTTTTTTGAACCATAAACAAGAGCATTATCCCATCAAAATGCATGTGATTAATAATAATAGTTAAAATTAAAATTTCAGCTTATATTTCTTACATGTATATCTGCACTGGCAACTTTGGAATATAATGAAGAATGTAGCATCTGCAAAGCTTTAAAAGCATTTTTCAGTCATTCCTCCATCACTTTTCCAGTTACAGAGTTAGATAATAACGACCCCTTCTGCCCCTCTGTATCAAACTCAATACAGTCACAAGCACTTGGGATGGACTCCATTTCTGAACTTCATTGCTGATCCGTTTGTAATCCGGACCTCAATCAGAAACGACATGCTTCTTTCACCGCTTCAGTACAAAGCCTGTGGTGTTGTACTGTGAGTGAAGAAAACAGAAAGACATAATCAATGTACCACCGTTTGCAACCAACTCCACCATCAAAAACATTCAAAAAAACGGATCGAACCAACGATACCCTAAGACCATGGAAAGTCCTTTGAATAACTTGGACCGGCGGTTGCCAACCGGAGCGGATCTGAACAAGAGGAAAGCGGAGAGGAGAAGGTGGTGGAAGCGGAGAAATGAGAGGGTGGAGGTCTGCGGAATGGCGGAGAGACGGAAGAGGAAGAGGTGGGTGGAGTGAGGGAAGAAGAGGAATGGATAGAGGGGAGGACCAGAGCGGAATAGGAGTCAGGCAGGGAAAGGAACGAGGAGAGTAGTGAACGTGGACCGGAGTGACTGGAGCGGAGCGTGAGGAATGACCGGAAATGGACCGGAGTGAGGAAGAGCGGAGGACTGGAGCAGAGTGAGTGGAGGAAGGAAGTAGTGGACCGGAGTGGAGGAAGGAGTGGGTGGGAGCCGGAGCGGACCGGAGCCGAAGATGGAGGACCGGAGTGGAAACGGAGGCCACGGAGGAAGGGATGACCGAGGAAGACCGGAGGGACCGGAGGACCGGAGGAGGGATGAGGACCGGAAGGGACCGGAGACGAGCAGGAACAATGGAGGACCGGAGCCGGAATGGAACGAGGGAGTGGAGCCGGAGGAAGAGGGACCGGAGGACCGGAGTGGACCGGAAATGGACCGACGGACCGAGGACGGACCGGAAGGACCGGAGCCGGAGGAGGAATGGAGGAGTGACCGGAGGACCGGAGTGGACGGAAGAGTGGAGTGAGAGCAGTGTGAGTGGGTGGAGGAGTGGAAAGGCCGAGGAAATCGGACGGAAGGGACCGGAGGACCGGAGGAACCGGAGGCCGGAGTGGAAGGGAAGAGGACCGGAAGGAAGGAGGAGGAACGAGAGGAAGGACCGGTTGAGGAGGCTAGGAGTGAGGACCGGAGGAGAGGACCGGAGGAAAGTGGAGGAAAGGAAATGGAGGAAACGGACGAGGAGGAGGAAGGGAATGTGGAGGAAGAGTGGGAGGAGTGGAGTGGAGGAAATGAGGAAGGACCGGAGGGGTTAGACTGGGCCGGAGGAGTGGAGGAAGGAAGTGGAAGGAGGACCGGAAAAGGAAGAGGAAGGAGAGAATGGACCGGACTCGGAGTGGAAGGAGGAGGAGTGGGGAGGACCGGAAGTGGAGGAGGAAGGAGGAAGGAGGACTGGGCGGAGTGGAAGGAGGAAGTGGTGGAGTGGAGTGAGAGAGGAAATGAGAGGAAGGAGGTGGAAGGAGTGAAGAGTGGAGGACAGTGGAGGAGGAATGGAATGGAGTGGGAGTGGAAGGAGGAAGGAAGGAGGAGGAATGGAGTGGAAGGAGGGATGAGTGGAAGGAAGTAGTGGAGGACTGGATGGAGGAGAGGTGGAAGTGGAAGTGGGCTGAGGAAGGACCGGAGTGGAGGAGGGAAGAGGTGTGGAGAGTGGAGTGGAAGGAGTGGATGAGGATGGAAGAGGGTGTAGTAGTGGAATGGAGTGGAGTGGAGGAAGGAAGAGGGGAAGAGGAAGGACTGGAGTGGAGTCGAGTGGAAGAGGGTCTTAGTGAGTGGTAGGGGACTGGAATGGAAAGGGAAGGGTGAGAAATGGCGTGGAAGAGATGGAAACTGAGTGGAAATGGAGAGGAAGTAAGCGTGGGGTGGGTGACTGGGCGTGACTGGAGTGGAGTGAGTGGAGCGAGGGAAGAGGGAGTGTAGTGAGAGTAGTGTAGTGGGTGGAGCAGAGTGAGTTGAGCGAGGGAAGAGGGTGAAGTGAGAGTAGTGTAGTGGGTTGAGTGACTGGAGCGGAGTGAGTCGAGCGAGGGAAGAGGGTGTAGTGAGAGTAGTGTAGTGTGTGGAGTGGGTGGAGCGGAGTGAGTTGAGCGAGGGAGGAGGGTGTAGTGAGAGTAGTGTTGTGGGTGGAGTGACTGGAGCGGAGTGAGTCGGGCGAGGGAAGAGGGTGTAGTGAGAGTAGTGTAGTGGGTTGAGTGGCTGGAGCGGAGTGAGTTAAGAGAGGGAAGAGGTTGTAGTGAGAGTAGCGTAGTGACTGGAGCTGAGTGAGTCGAGCGAAGGAAGAGGGTGTAGTGAGAGTAGTGTAGTGGGTGGAGCGGAGTGAGTTGAGCGAGGGAAGAGGGTGTAGTGAGAGTAGTGTAGTTGGTTGAGTGACTGGAGCGGAGTGAGTCGAGCGAGGGAAGAGGGTGTAGTGAGAGTAGTGTAGTGGGTTGAGTGGGTGGAGCAGAGTGAGTTGAGCGAGGGAAGAGGGTGTAGTGAGAGTAGCCTAGTGGGTGGAGCGGAGTGAGTCGAGCGAGGGAAGAGGGTGTAGTGAGAGTAGTGTAGTGGGTGGAGCGGAGTGAGTCGAGCGAGGGAAGAGGGTGTAGTGAGAGTAGTATAGTGGGTGGAGCAGAGTGAGTCGAGCGAGGGAAGAGTGTGTAATGAGAGTAGTGTAGTGGGTGGAGCGGAGTGAGTCGAGCAAGGGAAGAGGGTGTATTGAGCTTAGTGTAGTGGGTGGAGCGGAGTGAACCGAGCTAGGGAGGAATGTGTAGTGAGAGTAGTGTAGTGGGTGGAGCGGAGTGAGTCGAGCGACTGAAGAGGGTGTAGTGAGAGTAGTGTTATAGGTGGAGTGGGTGGAGGGAATGACTGGATTTAATTGTAGTGGGGAGGAGGGGAGAGTGGAGTGGAGTGAGTTGATGGTAGCGGAGCGGAGCAGAGTGATTGGAGAGGAGTGAGAATTTTAGTTATATGAAACATTTATTTTACCAAACTGGTATTTGGGACATACCAGTGTAACATTAAACTTAACATCTTCACTCATGCACTGTATCTTATCATTAACTATTCAGTTTCCTTTACATGTATGTAAACAGGATGCAAATCCTGCCTTTACTCCCTGATACAGATATCTCTGGAGAAACATTGTGTGACTCTCTCCGCACCCATTTCCGTCGCCACTGTAAGGAGAGTACACATTTTGCTAGACATACATAGGCGAAGTTGAAGAAACATTGACTAACTAATTACCTCATTTCTTATAAACCATGAAATTATTTAAGAATAAATAGGAATGGCAGTTTCATTTAGTTATGTTAACATAAGCTATACCAAAGGTGAATTATATGAATGTGCCTTAACTTTTAGGCTGTTGAGAACTTCTTGGGTTTAGTCTGTTACATAACTACACATCAATGCAGAAATCACATGGAACAAGGATATGGGAAGAGGATAGACATGTTACATTTTCTTACCAGAAGTTTCCCTGTATTAAGTTCTGTCGATACATGACAAGATTCACCTCATAGAGAAAGAACAGTGAACACTGTGTAGAAACAACTCCTATAAACTTGTGACATTATGACACTGTATAATGCTAAAACAGTCAACAATATCTATATTGTTATTCATCTTGCGTACTTACCTTGTTCTCAAAGAATGCTCTTGGAACTTGCATCGTTTCTGAAGTTGAACACTGCTATTTTCTATACTTGAATCAAAACTTTCTTTCTAGTAGATTCAATTTCACCATATACATAGAATATTTTTCATGTCAAGGAGGATAACATTATTCAGTCTACAGTACACAGAAAATAGCTCCTTAAATGTTACTGTTCTTGCAGTCTGTGCTAAAGTCTCTCAAGTTTGCTTGACTGAAAATGTAAATTGGCATTATTTTCAGCATTTTTTTGTCTCACTTTATGGACTTGAAGTTTGTGTGCTCTTACTTGACGAGAACAAATTTTACCAGACTTAGCTATTAGACTGGTGGGTAAAGTCGAGGACTGTACTTCAGTTTCTTAGGATATGTTCATAGAATTTATGAATCGTTGGATATTGTTCTCACCCCAGGAACCTTATTAGTTTTCATTAGGATTGCTTCTAAATATTGTGTAGTGTATCATTCCTAATTGAGTTTCTTTTGTTGTGAGATGTTCTTGGATATTTTTTTCTCATTCTACTAATGCATTCTATGTCATATCAGTTTTCTGTGTATCTCATCTTCTGTGTTGTTTCTCCAAGATATAGTATATATTTTTAAAGACTTGATAACATGCCTTCATTGACACTTCTAAAGTTTTCTCTAATACTGTTTTGAAATTCTGTAATAATTATTTCTTGCTCAATGAGAGTTTTCTTTAAATCGCTCAATAAATCATCAATGTATCTGAAAGGTCATTTTCCATATCACTCATATCAGGTTTGGGAACACATAATTCCTTGATAAATTTATATGTGTTTTTCTTTATATTTCAAGTGTAACATTTAATGTTTCAATTCACTTCAAGCATAGTTTAGGTCATAAGATTCCAATTCATTTAGCTTCTGGAATATTTATACAGTGTGGTAATTTCCTAAATCAGTTGAGGGTCAAAACTAAATTTCAAGCCCCATGTTACTACTATTATCAAATTCTTGAAAACACATGGGGTCATCCTTTTGAAAATATGTATACATTTGTAAGAGATAATCTCAAACCTTCAATAGATAATGCTAAGGATAAATAGACTTGACAGAATTTCTCATACAAATATCATTGAAATTCCATCCATATATATAATTACGAATAACAACAATGATACATAGAATTATAATAATAAGTATACCAATAAGACTTCCTTCACAAGGAATTATAACAGTGTGGAACAATGCGAGAAATGGTAAATTACAGTATTTTTATCATTGCAGGCTGATATTACAGAACAGTTCAGTCAGTGGTCATAAATCTGGTAGAATTTAAATGAAATATTAACTTACCTATTTGTGTTAGCATTCAGGTGAAGATGGCCATTCTTCTTTGTCTTCTTCTTTGAAGTTCTTTCTATATCAGTGCCTGTACTCTGACAACTGTTCATGAAGGAAACATTGTACTATCTGATAAAGGTATTCTGAAACCTTTGGTTATAAACCAAGAGGTCAAATATTCTTACACTCTTAATTGATTCCAACAACCCTCAACTAGTTACCAGTTAGACACTGACACTAACACTGGGGATGGGTAGAGGAGGGAAGGGGGGTCTTGGCATCTGAGGGAGGAAGTGGTGCAAACAGTTCACAGCCTAATTTGGTGGCATTTTACAGCAGCTGTGATTGGGTAATTGGGAATACACATTCATTTTTTGACATGACAGTAACTGTGCAAGAATTAAGAGCCAACACAAATGTTGCTCCCATTGGGTGATCAGTTTGGTTTAGGTATCTCATGTATACATAGGGGTTTAATTAGCTACTAAAGTCGTGTGTATGTATGGAATTCTTTTACATCACTTTAATACTTTGTTAATATAATCTTGAAATAGAAATATTTAAGAGTGTTTTGCTACATAACATCAGAGACCATATAATATATGATAACATCAAGGTGAGATGAATATATTACATGTTACCTACTAGTATGTTAATACCGCCAACCATGCACAGTACATTTTTGGTATATAACAAAGCATATCTGTTACACCAAACACATGCACACCTTTTACATGTTACCTCCCCCCAATAAAAAAGATGCTTTCCTTACACTTGAATGCTATGTTATGTAGATGTACGATAAAAAAACAGTCACATTTCATTGTTTTCAATTGAGTCCAGGTATACAATTATACAGTGTCATATCTGGGTTGTATTTCTCACTTTTGCTGCAAACATTGTAATATGTATTGCAGAAAACAAACTCCAGTATTTGACAGATGATATTATGTACTATACTGGTATGTCAAAGGTTGATTATAATCAATGAATTGCCATCATCTTTGGATATGAGTGTTTGTCTGTTTCTAGACTTGCTTGAACTGAATTGGTGAAAGTGGAATTGGTTAAAACTGTCTGTTAATGGCTGAATCAACTGAATAGAGACCAGTTTGAGTTAGTACTGACTGTGCAGACTTGCCATAAACATGTCACCAGATGCTTCCCTAATTGCTACTGAGTAGCTGTCTGTTCAGATCTGCTGCTGCTCACCAGATTGTTGAAACAAGAATTCCAAGGAGGAACTGACTCTATGAAAGGTGTGAGAACCTACTGTTTATTTGAGCAAGGTGGTTATCTCATATAGGACATTTTGTGGGAGAAATAATAATATTTGTGAAATAATTTGTAAATCTGTGAATGAATTTGGATGGGGATGTATATGGTTAGGTAATTTCTTAATTTTTGCAATGCATGTAAACAGATAATGTTGTCTTGATTTTAACCCATGTATACAATAGGTTGAAAAGTGTGACCCATTAAGGTATTAAATATGAATTTGGATTAATATGTATACTATTGGACAAGTAAATTTAAGAAGGACTGTGGAGTAGGCTCTTACCTTCTATACAATATTTTAAATGCATACCATTCTAAAGCTGATTTCTGCAAAACTTATGTATTAAAGAACAATAA